GAAGTATTAATAAATTTAAGAATTTCTGGTTTAGAGACGTTTTTTGAAGTAGGATAGTTATATAATATTATTTTATTATAGTGATAGTCGTTAACCAAAGTATCCATTTTATATTGCATTAGATCTTTTTGAAGTTTTAAATTATCGATTTGCTGTTTCAAGTTGTCTATTTGATCTTCCATTCTTTGGAATTGTATTTTGTTTTCTCGTATTGTTTTGTATATTAAGTTCAGGTCTTGTTTTATTGATGTCATTTGTAAAGATAGTCTATCATTAGATTTATTGATTAATTCCAAGATTTTGCTCCATAGATCTGCTGTTAAGGTGTTGTTCAAATTTAACGGCGAGGATGAATAAAAGTCACTGCACTCACTTGGTAGCTTATGTAGATTTTGTGGCGTGGTATCCATATTAGTTCCATTTGAATCTGTCAGAAATTCTTGTATGCTATTTTCCACCATTGTGTTATAATCCGTTATCAGTTTCTTGTCAGTTGCGTTTGGTTGCATTCTTTTACTTTCGGTTTTCGTTTGGCTTAACGGAGGTTAACCACGTTTAACAGGGGAATGTTGAATAGTTATTAATCCTTGTGTCTAGTAATTTCTTATTAGTTTAGAACACTATTAATTAAGAAAACTGGAAAAAATTGCACAAGTTCCTTGTTACTTTCCGAAGTGTTAATAAAAAGTCACCAACATCGCTGCTGTCCAGATACACCCCTGTATATCCTAATATTTATAGTTTTGTTTGCATTAATGTTTTAGAAGTTCATATTCTTAGAATGTTTTGAACCATTTAAGACAAAAGATATTTAAATCTAGAAGATGAATCAACTCTGAGCATTTTCTACCATTAGTGATAGTAAAATCTGCAGAGCCAAAATACAGTAAAACCTCACTTTATGGCCACTTGAAATACGTAAGTTTTAATATAAATTAAAACTCCCATCTTGGTGGCCATTTTGTTTAAGAGTACAAGACAGAAGTGCCCTAAAGTGATATTTATCCCTGTTTGTGGCCAGCTAAACAGGAAAACTCCTATCCTCCTAAACTCAATGAGTAATTTAATGTGCTTTAAACAGAATTGAGCTTTTTTGCTATAGTTTTGGAACAGTTTTTGAGATTCTTTCTATAGATGATGATCAAATAAAATAAATCTTCATTTACACTTGACAAATTAAATTTATCAGAATTTAGTGAGAAGAATGTCAATTATATATTTATTCAATAATTTTATAGAAAATTTGATCATATTTTTTAAAAATATGACTATATAAATCAGCAATGATCATTTTATGTCATTGATACATCATTCACCAAAGAAAAATATTGATATGCTCCTGATATAAAAGCCAGTTTTAAATATATTATAGTACAGTGAATTTGTATAATGCAGGGGATATCTTCTGTGTTATACAAATTGCATGTTGTGTGTGAAATTTGAGACCTGATATCAAATTCACAGTTTATATATAACACATGTTGGTTCATATAACATGGTTCATATAACCCTGTACAATGCAGAACAATGCATTGTACAGGGGTTTACTTTATTTACATAAAATCTTTGTTATCATTTTATGAACATATTGATTCTATGGATACTAAACAATTCCATTTAGTATCCTATACTGTATATGCAAGTGTTTTATGAAAATTGTCGTTTTTGAATTTGTTTAATTTTAATTAAAAATTTTCTATCTCAGATGGCAGTACTCTACTGTATGAATATCTTCAGACTATGTTTTACATATCTTTAATCAGATTATAGTGTTTATCAGAATGTATAATTTTTCCAGGCATATGAAACACTTTTTGTTTGGGTGTTCTGTTAACTGTTTAGCAATTCTGTCTTTTGATATAAAGTAGAATAGCTTCTGATAAAATAGATCAGTATGTATGAATCTTATATCAAAATTAGCAGGACGACAATCTTTTTTAATCTAGCTCGATGCCAAGTTGAATAAACAAACAAATTATTAGTATTCTGTGTGTATTAATTTACTACTTTGTATTAATTAACTTACTAAGATAAATTATTTTATCTATTGTCAAAGTAGTAAATTATTACACACAGAATGTAGGTCATAATAAACTATTTTTTGTAACTAATTTTTAATATTAATAAATATAAACCACTTTGCAAAAACTATGCAAATAAATTTATAACTGAATAAAAATTATGAATAATATTTCTTACAGTTGCAATGTCCATTAAGTACACACTATTTTCTTGATAAGATAAGCACCACTTATTTGGTGTTAAAACTTCTTTTTCACCAGCTCCCCTCTTTCTTTTATGCAATGTATAAACACTTCTTTTAGGCACAGCTCTTGCTTTTGTTCCACCTGTTCTATTTATCACTTTATCCAATGGTACCAATAATTTTTTGATGATTTTTTTTCTTCAAAAAGTTTATTACTTTAACAACTATATTAATTGCTTGGATTTCCAAACTCAACAAGATCTTAACCTACTTGATCATAACCAACTGGTCATAATCTACAAGATCAGTATCTTATAGTTTTAATAAGACAAATTGAGTCAAATGAGAAACATGAAATAATTTCACTTTGAGAAACATTGACTTTTCTTTCCACTTAAATCTATGCTGACCAATTGCATGGCACACCTTCTTCCTCTGCAAATGGTTAGTAAACTAGTCCAATGCCTAAGGAGAGTGTCTTCCTGGTTTGGTTGGACTGTACAGCAGTTTGTAACAATATTTCATCGATAATAGTGATTAGTCATGTATTTTATACTACCTGGTTACTAGATCTTAATCTGTGTGATTTTTGTTGTGGGACATTTACAAAGTGTAATTTATTGAGGACATTTTGCAAATTTGGCAGCTTTGAAAGACAGTATCATACTACATGTGAGAAGCATCATAGAGGATCAGTTATGGTTGGCCATTGAATGCACTGTCTTTTATTTTCAGGTTTGCTTAATTAAATTCTGTACCATCAGAATTTTACCAATATGTTTACATTTTACATATTCAAATAAACAAGCACATATAATAATTCATTATTTAAATAAGTAGTAATCATAAACATATAATAAGAAAATATATACAGATTTTAAAAATCATGATTTTTCTATTATCAAGAATAATTTTTATTAAATATTTTTGTAGTTTTATTGAATATTCAGAATAATGAAAATTTTTAACTTGTAATACATTTTTAGTATGCTTTAACATTCTGATCATAAAATGTTTATATCAAGTTTGATATATATTTAATTTTACTAAAATATTTTTCTTGTTATATCCAGTATATTAAATATGCAGAAAGTTTCAGCTCTGAAGCAGTTCATGACATTTATAGGCGAGCATGTACAATACATTTACCAAGAAAACCAAATATTAACCTTGCTTGGGCAACCTATGAGGAACGTCAAGGTATGGCTGTAAATATTAAGCAACATGAATTCATCTTAACCTGCTGAATCCATTATTTATGCTTTGGTTTAGATTTTTATATAAAAATTTGGATTTGCTTTCAATGTTGGGATCTAGCCAAATCAGCTATCGAGTCTTGCTGTGCTCCATATTAAAATTTTCAGAAAAATGTGAATATCAAATATGTTTGCCAGGAAATAAATATTTTGCAATAGATTAAAAATAAAAATATTTTGCAATAGATTTTATTTCAGTTAATTAATTTATTAATAAATTTCAAATCTGCAATTAAGACTATATTAATTATAATTATTTTTATACTTTATTATTTGATTATACTGTAGCAAATATATTTGATATTTACATGTTGAAAGCAAATCTAAATATAACTTATAAGTTATATGTTTACTTATAAAACTTTATAAATTTTTAGTTTTTGTTCTAAATAATATATATATTTAATAAAATAAAACAATATTTTGATTGCATATTTTAATTATGAATTAGAATAATCATTGTAATATGTGTTTAATTATTCTTACTTTATAAAGGAGTGCAGATGATTGATTGTTTGAAAACTATTTATTTTATTTTTTATTATGATAATTTTTTTAAAAGTTTAAATTATTATTACAATATTGTTTAATAACAATTCATTAATTGTAAATTGAGAACTTTCATACCTATTCCAAATTAATACTTTCAAAACTTCTTTTAAAGAGTTCGAAAACATTAATTTTAATTCATTTAAAACAAAAATGAATTAATAAATGCTTTTTTTTTAGAAATACAAATGTTATAAAATTGATATTGAATTATCTTGTTCATTTTAATCAAAATTTTATATTGATAATAGAAATAAATCTTTTTTCATCATTTTATGTAAGTAATTGTTCTGAAAAATAGTCTCAGATTTTCAGGAATTATAATTAATCTTCAGATAGACTGTTTACTGACAAGTTTTATATTTGCGATTTTCAAAATAGTCTTGTTTAGTTTTCAGTTTGAATATAAGCTATCTTGTGATGAAAGCTGATTAAGTATTAATAAATCAGTTATACCAATATATCATAACTATCTTTAATTTTTTATTTTATGAAATGTGAAATCATTGTTGGCATAAGATACTATTAAAATGAGATAACTGAAACAAGTAATATTTAGTAGTGTAAATTTAACATTTTTTTCTTATTTATAAGAACTATGCATACTGTTTTAATTCAGATCATGATTTTCATATATTAATATATTATGAAAAATATGATTCCTGTAATCATTAGATATGTCATAAGACATTAAAAACTCATCACTTCTGCATCTGCTTATTCTTTATATAGATATGGTTTTTTGCTTTTCAATTTAATTCACAACATACCAATTATTTTTGGAAATAATATATTTCAATAAACACTCAGATTCTTTGAATACTTTGATGCAAACACCTTATGTTTCCGAGAAGTAATATTTATTATCCTACAAATGTTTTCTACCAGCTCCACAGGTCATCCTCAGGTATTTCTAAATTCTTGGAATGCTTCTTTGCATCAGTTCCAGGTTCAAACGTTTATGTGAAACAAAATTCAAATTTCTATATCTGTTCGAACAATTTGTTTAAATACAAAAATATAAATGATAAATAGAACTAAATAAAACTAATTAAATACATGAATCCAATTAATGTAAATAACAAAATAAGCCAAACTACACAAAGTAAATTAACATAAAATGCACTAAAAAAATATTACTTCTCAGAAACATAAGGTGTTTGTGTCAAAGGAAATAATATATTTTGTAAGCATTATTAATTCAAAGATATTTCAAAATTTTTTCTTTATTATGAAAGACAATTATGATATTGAATTTGTAATAAAAAAAGAACTTTCAATAGAACTTTTTTCAAAAATTTATAAATATCTTAAACTTAATAAAAAGGTTTTTTTATTTGTACAAAAACATGTAAAAATTTCAGCAACATATAGCATCTATTGTATTTTGAATTGCAATCCTAATATATAAAAGTTAGTACTTTTATAAAATTAAACATTTTTTAAAATCTTAGTTGTCAGTTTTATTGTCAGATTTTATTTTTTAATAATAGTTAATAGTTCTATCTGGGACAATTTTTAGAATATTCACTTATATGAATTATAGTAGCAAAATATTGGTTGAGTTTTATATTATGATTGTTTTAGTTGTGCAAAAACTTGTTAGTTGTGCAAAAACTTGACTGGAAATATTTTATTACTAAAAATGGCACTGCAGTTATAAAATATAATTCTGATTATCAAATAATTTGAAAAAAATTTCAGTGGTTTCTTATCAAATACTGATTTTTTAATTTTAAATATTGTTAGAAATGTAATTTAATATTACAAGTAATAGTCTCCTGACTACAATTTTTATTTAAATTGTTTTTATATTTGAAATAGCAAATAGTACTTAGGTAATTAAGTTTTGATCTTAAATGCAAAATTTTAATTTGAAAAAGCCATGTTTTTCAAAACAAAAACTTTGAAAATTTAATGTAAATTTTACATATAATTATAATGATTATATATATGTAGTGTATGAAAATTTGAACTTTATTAGTACTTTTGATTTTATCTGTTTAAATACATCATAACAACAAAATTGATTAATGTTATTTAGAAGAAAAGTTTTTCATAATATTCATTGTTTATAATAAATTCATGATCGACATTTAGAACTTTTAGATCAACATTTCTCATTTTTCTTTTTTTTATGATAGACTTCTGTTAATTGATTTTCTTACTAAAAACTAAATTTTATTTTGTAATGATGTAGAGAAACTTAAATACAGTAGAGCATCGATTATCCAACTCAATTAGGGACTCAGGTTGGTCAGATAACCGAAAATAATGAAAAAAATACATTATTAGTATAGTATATTAGGATATCCCATGTAATTAGTATATTAGTGTATCACTATTAACCAACTTCGCGTTGAATTTTCATCGATGTTTAGCCTAACAAATTTTTAAAAAATAATAATCGTCGCTATTCTATTGTTAAAAATTATTTTTAAATTATTTTATTGCTCACAAAACAAACAACCACTCGTAATTAGAAAATTAAGTCTCGTTTAAATACTGGCTGCCCTTTAATGGTTGAGCCATGTTGCCAGCTAAAACATGCAAAAATTTAACAAAAATAATATTAAAGTATCCAAGATATAGCCAAATATTGTAGCGCCACATCACTAGCGGACATTTGAAATTTGCCAACTAGAACAGTTAGTTAACCGATGTGACGGTTAATCGGGGGTCGGATAATCGATGCTCTACTGTATATTTGTAGTTGCACTGTAAACAGAGGTTTTGTGTGTAGCACACATATAGTCTATTGTCATTTATTGTCACAGTGTATTAGTGCTTAGGCATAATGTGTTAAATTTACTGTTACATTAAAAGGCACAATAACATTTTTTTATAAATAAAGTAGTCTTGAATCTTAAAAGAATATTTTATATTATAAGTTTCTAATGATTAATATTTCAACTTTTATGATGCAGATTTTTTTATTCAGGTATCAAGTTACATAGATATATCAGATTAATAATCAATTTATTGATTAAATTTCAAGAATATTTTTACAAAAGTCTTTTAATCAACTTTAAATACAGGTATACCTCATATGATAATTTTTTTAAAAGTTTAAATTATTATTACAATATTGTTTAATAACAATTCATTAATTGTAAATTGAGAACTTTCATACCTATTCCAAATTAATACTTTCAAAACTTCTTTTAAAGAGTTCGAAAACATTAATTTTAATTCATTTAAAACAAAAATGAATTAATAAATGCTTTTTTTTTAGAAATACAAATGTTATAAAATTGATATTGAATTATCTTGTTCATTTTAATCAAAATTTTATATTGATAATAGAAATAAATCTTTTTTCATCATTTTATGTAAGTAATTGTTCTGAAAAATAGTCTCAGATTTTCAGGAATTATAATTAATCTTCAGATAGACTGTTTACTGACAAGTTTTATATTTGCGATTTTCAAAATAGTCTTGTTTAGTTTTCAGTTTGAATATAAGCTATCTTGTGATGAAAGCTGATTAAGTATTAATAAATCAGTTATACCAATATATCATAACTATCTTTAATTTTTTATTTTATGAAATGTGAAATCATTGTTGGCATAAGATACTATTAAAATGAGATAACTGAAACAAGTAATATTTAGTAGTGTAAATTTAACATTTTTTTCTTATTTATAAGAACTATGCATACTGTTTTAATTCAGATCATGATTTTCATATATTAATATATTATGAAAAATATGATTCCTGTAATCATTAGATATGTCATAAGACATTAAAAACTCATCACTTCTGCATCTGCTTATTCTTTATATAGATATGGTTTTTTGCTTTTCAATTTAATTCACAACATACCAATTATTTTTGGAAATAATATATTTCAATAAACACTCAGATTCTTTGAATACTTTGATGCAAACACCTTATGTTTCCGAGAAGTAATATTTATTATCCTACAAATGTTTTCTACCAGCTTCACAGGTCATCCTCAGGTATTTCTAAATTCTTGGAATGCTTCTTTGCATCAGTTCCAGGTTCAAACGTTTATGTGAAACAAAATTCAAATTTCTATATCTGTTCGAACAATTTGTTTAAATACAAAAATATAAATGATAAATAGAACTAAATAAAACTAATTAAATACATGAATCCAATTAATGTAAATAACAAAATAAGCCAAACTACACAAAGTAAATTAACATAAAATGCACTAAAAAAATATTACTTCTCAGAAACATAAGGTGTTTGTGTCAAAGGAAATAATATATTTTGTAAGCATTATTAATTCAAAGATATTTCAAAATTTTTTCTTTATTATGAAAGACAATTATGATATTGAATTTGTAATAAAAAAAGAACTTTCAATAGAACTTTTTTCAAAAATTTATAAATATCTTAAACTTAATAAAAAGGTTTTTTTATTTG